GGGGAGCCGGCTCCGGCCTCCTCCCTTGGTGCTTCTGATACAGAGGCAGAAAGAGGGGGGAATGTGCATAGTCGACAGGATTAGCCAATAAGCCTAGGCTTATTGGTTAGTCATGTAGTCATCTACACACCTCCCTAGTGCGGAGAGAAAGAAGATCAATTGCAGGGCCCCTGCCATGTACTCAAAACTTTTAAAACTGTATAATGTATGTATTAGATCATGTGTGTCCACTCACCTTGATGTTCCTTTTTCATTTTTGTACTTAGGAAGTTATAGTTTGTTTACCAATCACTGTCATGTGTATTAATAAAATCAATTTTCTCCATTTAACAGAGTGTTACTATATTAAAGTGAGCCTCTTTACATGAGGGTTTATTGTTTTTGTGGATTTTATCATATTGAGTGAAACTATTGAATCTGCCTGCATAGTCTCTTTAGTGTTAATATTCAAGAAAATTGGACATGGGTGCTGTTTTTTTTTCAGATACTTAGATATTTGCAAAAAATAGATATCTGTTTGGCCTTTGTTCAGCTGGGTATGTAATAGATGTGTTTTCCATATTTTTCCATAATAACAACCTTCGTAGTTTTTGGAGCCATGCTTTTAATTATGGACTTTTTTTTTCCTTTTCAGAGAGAGACTATTGCTAGTTTGGTGGCGACTAGCCAATGAGAAATGAATTCTTCATTTTCTGAGTGTAATTCTTTCTGCTAGAAAGCTTTAGGGGGTTTGCAAGAGGATCATTGGGTATCAGATATTCAACAATTTGTTGTATTTGAATACAGACTGCATCCAGATGCTCTCTAATGACTAGATATATCTACCCTGTATGGATAACATCACCTCTGTCACCAGTGTCTCCAATACTTGGGCTCTATTAATTTTCTCTGTATTTTTGACCTTACTGGTATGAAGGACCATTGAAACAAGAGTATCTTAATCTTTAGTACGATACCAGAACATTTCTTTACAGATCTTCTTTTTCCCATCAAAGCTCATATCTCTGGGGTAATTTTTCTGTCCATAATCTTTTCCCACTGTGATATACGTGGACATACCTTTTAGAAAAGTTGGCTGCAAAGATTGATATACGTTAATTTGTGTGTGTGTGTGTGTGTGTGTGTTTATATATTAGATTTTGTTTCCTTATCAAGTTGAAGGCATTGCTTCTGTTATAGTTAGTATTCTGTATAAAACAATGAAACTGAGAAAAAGGCTTCCATTGAAGGTAATGGCACCCGAGGGCAAGATTAGCTTGAAATTCTAAATAATTAGGAAAGCTTATTTGATAAGCTACTGGCCAACCATATGTATTCCATGGCTCCCATAACCTTGTAACTCTCTGGTTCTAGATGTTGATTAAAATGTGGGTGATTTGCAGTGGTGGTGGTTGGGAAGGAAAAATTAATTTATTTCTACAGGTTGAACCTTCTTCAACCAGGACTCCCTGGTCCAGTAATATCTGTGGTCCGGAAGGACCATGTCTGTTGCTGGACATAAGAACATAAGAACGGCCGTACTGTGTCAGACCAAAGGTCCATCTAGCCCAGTAGCCTGTCTGTCAACAGTGGCCAGGGCCAGGTGCCCCAGAGAGGGTGGACCAAAGACAATGATCAAGCGATTTGTCTCGTGCCATCCATCTCCGGCCTCTGACAAACTGAGGCTAGGGACACCATTTCTATCCCCTGGCTAATAGCCTTTTATGGACCTAACCTCCATGAAATTATCTAGCTTCTCTTTAAACTCTGTTATAGACCTAGCCTTCACAGCCTCCTCTGGCAAGGAGTTCCACAGGTTGACTATGCACTGTGTGAAGAGAGGACCAGAGGCAAGAGTCCTGTGAGGGCCAGGAACCCAGCCAGGCTGGCTGCAGCGAGGCTAACAGCCAGAAATCCTGCCTTGGGAGTCTGGCTGAGCCAAGTGGTAGGCGGCCAGAAAGAAAGCAGGCTCCAGCAAGCCCGTGGGGCTGCTGCAGCAGGGCTGGCAGGGTCAGGAACCCTGGTGGCTGAGCTGCAGTCTGCGGGGGTGGGGGGAAGGGAAGGGAGAGGCCCAGCAGTGGGACTGTGGGCTGGCGGGACCAGTGTTGCTGTGGCAGGGCTGTTGGGGCCAGGAGCACTGGTGGCAGGACAGTGGTTTACTGTGAACCTGAAAGCCCCAGTTGTGGGACTGTGGGCTGCCGTGGCAGGGCTGCTCACCAGTGGGGAACCCCTCAGGAGGCCAGACAAGGAGTGGAGCTGGGCTGGGGGGCTGGCAGCAGAGGGGGGCAGAAACCTCCCTTGGACCAGCAAAATACCTCCTTTGGGACCACACAGGTCCCGAGGGTGCCGGACAAGGGAGGTCCAACCTGTAATTGCATTTTCTAACCCATAGAGTAACCTTTGCTAAAAAAATGTGTATAAATTTCTGGAAGATGTGACTTTGTATATTTATTTTTAACCTAGGAATATTTATACTTGCACAATTGTTTGTTTAATAAAGATTTAGTGTGTGGCTAGATTAGAGCACCCAAACCCACTACTGCTTTGAACTGGCTATCTTGATTGTACTATATTATTTGGAAAAACTAGTCCACCTGTTTAATGTCTGGTCACTTTTATGAAAAGAATTATTGGTAAATAAACCCACACAGCAAATATTGTCTATATAACTTTAGTACATTTGAATTTTTGGGTACATAGTTATACTGACCATAGCTGAATAATTTTTGACCCATTTTAGACAGCATGCCAGAAACATGCAACTGAGGACCTGGATAGCTAGCGCGCTGGTGGGTGCCATAAAGAGAAGCGAATGCTGCGTCACCACCAGACCTTTTTGCTTTTTTAAATATTGTTTCAAGACATGGTGCTTGGTGGCTAACCAGAGAAATGTAAAGTTTGCAAAGTTAGGTAATTGTTCCAACTTCTTGCATTGTATTTCTTCATTCATATTAAAATGGCCGGATGGAAGAGATTTAAGTTAGCACGTAGGAACACAGCTGGAAAGATAAAGATTTCTGACTTCGCAAGCTAAATAAGGAGGCTAATAGTAAACTAAGTGGAAGCTGGAAGCACCTGACTCAGAGTAGAAAAGTTGGGACTGTTCAGTGCAATAAATAAAAATGCTCAAGTTATATTTATAAGTATAGGTTTGAGCATCTCAAATTTTTCTTTTGTGCTGTCCTCTGACTATGCTTTTATTGCCATGGAGAGAAAAACATCCAAATACCAAACCTATCGGTTGGGGGGAGGGGGATTAAGGTATTAAAATATTTACCCAATGCTCATAAATTAGTTATTGGAAGATGGCATATTGGAGCATAACCAACCGAACGTAATTTGGGTGCCACTGGAAATAAATGACATTACTGTGATAGCTAACCACCATTGTAGATGAAATCACCAGCTCTTTTGCAACAAGTAGAAAAAGATACTATATTTTCAATGACTCTCTCTCTATTAGTAAAATAGATGGAGTTTTGAAACATATTCGCTAGCCCATTATGATTAACATGTTTTTGAATACCAGTTAGACACTCACGTAGAAAAAGTAACACTGGAGTTAAAAACACATTAATTAAGGCATGTTGGCGAGTATGTGTTAACATCACTTATTTACCTGACAGGGACTAACATTTTCTCCAATATTCAAGTGTTTCAGTATGACTATTTTTAGCAAGGCTGTGTAATTTGAAGCACAGAGTGCTTCATGTTCACTCTAAAACGGTTAATTATATGGAGTTTAGTTCTGCCTCTCGTGTGTGTATATGTGTGTGTGTGTCTGTCTTTGAAAAGCTACACAGCATGAGTACTTGAGATCTAATTTTGTGTTTAGCATAAATTTCCTCTTTGGAGTTGGGCATGTCACTTAAGGTGTGTCTACTCTGTAGTAAAACATGCACAGCTGGCCTGGGTCAGTTCACTTGGGCTATTGGGGCTTGAGTAGTTGAGCTTATAAAACTGCAATTTTGTACTCCCACAGCCTGAGCAATATGACCTGAGTCAACTGACCTGGTCCATACAGCAGTGTGTGTATGTGTGTTGTTGTTGTTGAGTAGACATAATCTTACTACCTCAGTTTTTTCCATCTGTAAAATGGAGGTAATGATGCTTACTTCAAAGGTATGTTGTAAGAATTAATTAATGTTTATAAAGTCCTTTGAAGATGAAAAGCAGGAGTTCTAAGTATTATTTAAAAGCCAAGCTTTCCAAAGCCCAGGTACATGTTCTGTGAACTGTCTTAATTATGCTTGTTCAGATTGCTCCAAACTGTCTCAGATATTTGCTTAGGAAGCTATTTTGGGGGATTCACTTTAATTGTACTGCAGTAAACTCTCTGAGAGTTTTTTTTTCCCTAGGCCCTGCAGCTGACCTTGTTGAAGGTGGTATATCTGACACTGCATCTCTGGGAAGAAAAATAAAGATTATGTACTCCTCACAGCAGATCAGATGCACAAATCAAAAACAGACAAGCGCACAGAATGACCTTAGAGAAAGTGATATCAAACACTTAATTCAGGAGCTAGACCTGTTCTACTTAATGTATGGAGATGGCTCCTAGAAAAGAATCATATTCCGTAGATTTGTTTTTAACACCTTTAGTTGGTTTGCCTTAACTTTCTTGAATATCTCCCATGTAAATATGCCCTGTGGATGCATCTTTACTTTAGAGTTAACTCCGGTGATGAAAACCCAGGCCGGAGCATGCTGGTTAGACTACACTGAGTGTGAGCCATACTTGAGTTACAAGGTCCACTCTGAAGGTGCACTCATTCATGAGCAGCGCTAGGACTTTGGGAATTTGGGGACGTATTCCCTGGTTCTTGATTAAAAACAACTAAGCATCTTGTGGCGCCTTAAAGGCTAACAGGTTTATTAGGGCATAAGCTTTCATGGACTGCAGCTCGCATCACAAAGCCTTATACCCTAATAAACTTATTAGTCTTTAAGGTGCCACAGGTCTCCTCATTGTTTTTGCTGAAACAGACTTAACACGGCGATCTTTCTGAAAATGGTTCCTAATGCTTCAGTAATGTGAGCTGCTCTCGATTCTTTCCAGTGAATTGTGGGAGAACTTGTCTTTGTGTTGGGCACCTCTGAGGAATTATGAGACGTCACTGGAGGATTACCAGCACTGAAGTGTGTGTCCTAACTGCAGAGTGACAAGTTACCAGCCTGAAAGTAAATACCATTCTGCCCCAGGATGGACCATACAATGACTGTAAAACGCCATTACACTCAGACCAGAGGATTCTCTCTGTATGAATGGGTGCTGGGTAGAGGCAACGCCCAAGCAAGAGCGTGAGTTAACTCTGCAGCAAAAATGCTCTTAAAGTTTTAGTTATTGCATAAGGGACACAGTCTCTCCTCAATCTCCGGGCACACCTTCCTGGATGTACTGCAGATAATGGGGGTAGATTAGCCCTGAAGAGCCAACCCATAGAACATAATTAAAATACTGTATAATTGGGAATTTTTACTGAAGCAGTCTCTCAATCTTTTCCCCTTAGATGTGCGAGATTTTACGTAGGCATTTTTTGGGTAGTCCCTTGCCAATGTTAATTGAAGGATAGCAAAAACTTAGGTTAAATACTTAATACTTGGATCTTGAGAGCTTTACCTCCATCAGATGTTGAACCTTGGTTACTGTGGTAGGCTATCCAAGTGGTTTAATGAATTACAGCGCTTGATGTTTGTAGGACACCTTGAGAATATTGCTTTTCAGATCGGTATAATCACATTTCTAGGAGGAAAGGGGTGTAGGCCCTAGCACTCAGACTTCCCCATCAGTAGATTAGAATTGCATCTTTGGAAGAAGTCATCCGTTGACTACAGGAATGTTGTGATGATTTTGCTAAGGCAATGAGGTGGGTGAGAGTCTTAGACAACGGGAAGAGCTTGTTTGTCTCAGGGGTGTGGGATGCCTGGTGACTCTTTAGGCTAGTGAGTCAGTTGCTTGACATTCCATTAGACATATATTTCCTGGCTAAGTTGTAAATAAATCCAGATTTGGAGGCTGAATCTCTGTAGTTATTTCTAAAAATAGAACTTTGAGAAAAGTTTCTAGAAATGTTTGAGATGGGAATCAAGTGAAGCAAATGCACTTCAAGAATTTTTAGAAACTTGAGTCGAGAGGAAAATAATTAAAATTTGTCACAGACAACATTGGTAGAGCCCTACAAATCTGAAGATACCCACTTTATATTCATGGGTATCCTCATCCACAGATATGTATGTGGATATCCAGAGGTCATTTTTGCAAGTGGAAATGCGGATACAAATTTTGTATCTAGAATCCGACAAATTCGCAGATATCCGTTTTTATCCTTGGATTCACGCATCTGCAGATGTCAGTGTGGATATCTATGGCTCATTTTTGTGGATACAGTTGTGAATGTGCATACAGATTTTGCATCTGCACAGGGCTCTAAATATTGGGGAGGACATGATACTTGGATGGGTTTCTCATTTTTTACTCTATACATTTAATGTGCTCTTACTGAATAATTATCTATTTAAAAGAAAAATGGAAATGTTACCATTACATTTGCATGAGATTTTTTCCCTTTTCTCCTTAGTCTATGAGTAAATGTATTGCACCTGATTTTGTTGACAGTTCATAGAATAAAAAAGACAAGGGGGAATCTCACATATTGTTTCACGATGGAACAATCTTAAACCTTAAATTGGAGCACAGAAGTAACTGGCTTTACTTTTAGCATATATATAAGACTACTAACAGGTGAAGCCCATCGTTGACCAGGCAAAAAAATTAAATATATGTAATAGGGATGTAATAGTGTAGTCGAGTAACCGATAAGCAAAATCTTATAGATTAATACTATAGACTACATGCATTTCCCCCGCCCCCGCCAGTAAATTTTTTTAGCAGGTTGGCCAGCAGCCTGGCTCAGTCCTGGCTTGTGATGGGTCTGGGACCTACCCCTGCTGTAGCTCTGTATTTAAAATGTATTAGGAACTGAGCGGGCAGGCAGCCCTGCTCATTTCCGGCTTGCACTGGGTCCGGGAGCTCAGACCCCCACTCTGCGTTGCTGCCTCTGATACAGAGGCAGCAGTGCGGTATGGCAGGAGGCTCCTCGGGTGTGAGGCTGGAGTGCACTGGCTGCCGGCCCCACCTCTGTGACTATAGAATAGTCTACTAACTGATAAGAATGGATGAGGTCACTCAACAAATCAATTAACCGATATTTAACATCCCTAATCAGTAATAGAAATTAAATATATGTAATAGAATTTTTTATTCATATATTACAAAAGGAAAATAAAAGAACATTTTTAAATTTATAGGATTTCAACTTCAAACATTATTCATTTTATCGAATAATTACCATACACAGTCAATTTGAATAAAAAACTCATAAAGCTTCCATTACTCACTCTTTCTGTAACTAATGTGAATTATTTTGTGATTTGTAACAGAAAACATTTTCTTTGCACAGTTGAATAGGCGACTTGATTTTAATTTTGTTAGCAAATATGTTTTATGAACTCTAATCCTAATAGTCATGTCTTTTTTCTGATGAAAAACAAAAATAATTATTTAAATCAGTGTTTCTCAAAGTGATCCGTGGACTCGTGCTGAGAGAGCTGCTACTGGCGAAGGAGAGCCGCAGGAAGCAGCGGCCCTGGTTACACTGTTTCCTGCAGCTCCCCTTGTCTGCAAACGGTGAACTGCAGCCAGTGGGAGCCACGAGACTCCATGGCTGTGGAGTTGGTAAGTAAACAAACCAGAGCGGCCCGGTAGCAGCAGCATTCTCAGAGTGGGCCCGCGGACCACTTTGAGAAACACTGATTTAAACCTTTCACCTAGCATTTTTCTGGTGTAGAAAGTAGTGCAATCAGCTAATTTAAGGGGCAGGAGTGTTTATGCCAAATCTGTAGGTAATTGCAAAGTATGACTTCATTTTGCACAAACTCTTCAGATAATACTTAGCAGATAATACTTAGATAACACAATGATGATAATAAATCGATCATTTCAGCAGCCATCAAACAAAACACTCAACTCCTATACTGGGTTATTTGTGTCTGAGGATTTAAGAAAGCTGACGGGAGACTATTAGATTTTGTAATTCCATTTCTCACACCAATTTATGACAAATAGAAGGGGGTAAAGTGAATTTTTGATTGTCCTTGTTGCTCAGTTTTGGAAAGCATATATAGTGGAGGCAAGCAAAAAGACTAAGGTGGTGGGTTTTACAGTCTATTTTAAGACTGATTACTTTCACAGAAGCAAAATGCAGGACAATGTAGCACTTTAAAGACTAACAAGATGGTTTATTAGGTGATGAGCTTTCATGGGCCAGACCCGCTTCCTCAGATCAAATAGTGGAAGAAAATTGTCACAACCATATATACCAAAAGATACAATTAAAAAAATGAACACACATGAAAAGGACAAATCAAATTTCAGAACAGAAGAGGAGATGGGGGGAGGGGAGGTAAATTGTATTCTTTGGTATATATGGTTGTGACAATTTTCTTCCACTATTTGATCTGAGGAAGCGGGTCTGGCCCATGAAAGCTCATCACCTAATAAACCATCTTGTTAGTCTTTAAAGTGCTACATAGTCCTGTTTTTTGTTTCAGCTACACCAGACTAACACGGCTACATCTCTATGACTATATGTACAATATGTGACCTCATGCATACAATTGGAAAACTTCTTGTGTGCTTAATCCCCCAATTGCATGGAAATGATAAACCAGCCTCAATATTGCAAATATTTGTGCAGTTTTTTGCAGGGATGTAAAATCCAATTTAATTGGCTAACTGATTAAAGTGCGGGAGAGCAGCCCCTTTCCACAGTGGTCCCACCGCAGGGCTGAAGCAGCCCCCTGTCCACTCTTTCAGCACCCATAGGTTAACCTTAACCAGTAATCCTCACCCATTAAGGATGAGGCTTGCCAATTAACTGGTTAAACCTTCACATCCCTAGTTTTTTTGTAACCATTGTTGTAGACTTTCCTTCCTCTTTTTTCTCTTGGCTTTGAATCTTTATATTTTCTCTCTCCCTCCAAATATTACATTATACCAATTCTTGGTGTCTGGAAATGATTGGATTGTGTGGTGACACAAAGATTTGTGGGTTGAAATAGGAGAATGGAGGGGATGTCTGTAATTTAGGGAATTGATTGTATTTAGCTACATTAGCATAAGTGCCATGTTTATCAGTGTGTTCTTTGTGCTGGGTTGGTAGGCAGGGGGAAGAAACCAAGATGTGATTGTATTTTGAGACTAAGGATGCATATTTGGGGTTAATGTGAGGCTTGGTAGATCTTTTATTTTTTAAAGTCTGCAATCTGAACCTTTCATTTAAAGAGAGACACCACACCAACATACCAGTCTACTGACTCAATCTGGTACTGCCAACATGTCTTACTGCATTTTCCTTTTTTTAAGGATGGTCTCTCATCTGGATGTTCCAACAGGCCTGAGCCTGTGTAACTTAGCTGATGATCTCACAATGTAAACTATATATGGCTGCAGTCCCCTTTTTTGGACTGCCTCCCATACACGCTCCATGTTTTATCTACACTTACACAGCTCTTGTCCTGGAAGCCTCACCTCTGCTTTTGACTTATTCCGTGATTATGTAAAAACACACAGTTCATTGGCCTCTTTTATTGAATTTCTTGGCTTTTGTCTCTTCCCCTTCTCCCCCAACACAAAGATGAAGCTACAGTGTTGGGGTGCGACACTGAATAATTTTATATACCTTTTTTGTATACCAGCTAGCTTCTTTGCTTCTAAATCTGCCTGCCAAGATCCACTCCTCGTCACTTAAATTACTAACCATAGTTATTTACATCCCACAGGGATCCATCTGTCGCATAGTCTATATAACTGGAGTATGCGTTCTACCTCAAGCACCAGATGAGTCACAGCAGTTACTGTTTTTCTGTATTAATCATTTATATTGGTAAAATGTTGGCCAAGGATGTAGACTAGGGTGGGTGAAGGGAAATTGAACCCTGCAAAGGGTGGATGGGTATTCTTCTCTCCCCCTCCCCAGCTTTTTTATTGGTTGTTGATGCTTTACAATGCAGAAAGAAGGCCCTGGTTTGGTTTACATTAGAAATATCAGATCTTGGCTTTCTTGTCCATACTGGAGAAATAGTGGGATGATTGATGGCATGCACCGAAAACCTGAGCGACTGAGAGGGGAAATCTTTGGTCATTGTTTACCACTTAACAACTGTTTTAATAGTCTCTTTCATTTTGGATCCATCACTGTGGCTCCTAACTATAGGTTAGCCCTCTCTATCCCAGCCCCCTTGGGACTTGACCAGTGCTAAACCAGAGAATTTGCTGAACCATGAGAGGTCAATGTTGTCTAGCAGCATTACCAACACTTCCACTGCTTACTGGCTCTTAGAAGACATTTAGGGGTTAATTAGAGCTAAATAACAGCACAGAACATGGAGAGACAAGATTGGTGCTGCAAACAAACTTCATGGGACCATGGGAAACTTGGCCACACCCATGATAAGTGAACATCTGGCTAACTAAAATCATGCTGGACCAAAGTGTGCCAGACTACAGAGTTTCAACCTGTGCCAGATTTTCCTGTCCACTTGAGCTCATACAGAAACAATTGCCAGAAGCTTTTTGGGTGGTTTTTCTGGCCACTCCCCCTCCTGGCTCCTACTACATTTAAACTGCAGAGCCTCAGCGGGAGAAGCAAGCAAGAAAATTCCATTAACTACTCAATTAGCTGATTAATCGTAATTTAACATCCCTAGTTTGTACCCATTTGGTTGGCTATAAATGAGGGTGGAGGGTGGAATTCTGTATGTAACAAACTTCTCCTCCTCACTCCCCCCACCCCATGAACAACAGTTCTTGTATTTGAGATGCTGTTCTCCTGCCTTGATGCTCTAGCTGAAACACAAATATTATGGAATTTATTTAGGAAGTGTTCTACATCAAAGCCACCTGTTTCCTGTTCCTACTCAGTGACTCTTAATTGCAATAGCAGTCAGCTGCTACTATAAATATGCCTGTTACCTGCTACAGTTCAAAACTATCTGCCAAGTTTGCTTATCCTCAGGAACCTACGACGGTGCTTCCCGAGCTCATTAGTGGGGTGAGGAAATGCGGTAGTTCTGGGACTCCAGAGTGACCCACATTAACAGACTCCTGTTGCTCTTCATGCTCAAGGGATTGTTCTGGCACAAGTGCTCGGTCCTCTTTACAGTTCCCCAACTCACCCACATCCTCTGAACTTGAGATTGCTCAGCACAGAAGAGCACAGGGTTTAGCTTCTCTCCCCAATTTTGTATCCTGATCCTCTCAGACAAGATACTCGTGTACCTAAATGGCCTCTTTGACTAGAAGACTTGGATGTTCCCACTTTTCCTCTTGGCTTACATTTGGGGTGGTCTCATATTTTCCATTTGCTGTTTACAGGTTCCCATCCATCCGTAGTTCTTCACTCTCTCTCGGAGAAAGTTCTTGCTGCCTTTTTGGAGAATTTCCTCCCTCCTCCTAGACCCAGCTATTTGCTTTCATCATTGCACAGGAAATCAGATTCCTCATCTTTCTTTTTTGCGCCTAATGCTGAGAAAAAAGCAAGCCAAACATAAAAAGCACAAACCCAGTATCCCCTCTTGCAAATCTCAGTACCAATGGAGCTCCTGCAGGCCTCCATCCAGAGACTGTGAGCCTCACAACACTCTGATTCAGATGAAGCAGGCAACTTCTGCAGTAATAATGATGGGATACTTTGGTCAAGTTGATCCAATCCATCTTGGCCATCACAGAACCAGCCACGTTTCTCCTGAATTCAGACAAGAACAATAAAATGTGTAGAGTCTTCCTGTACCTCATTACAATGGTATAAGTTTTTTGGTACCAAAGATGAATTCTTCCTTTCTGCACTGAAGCGAGGGCTGCTCCCAATATAGGAAGTTTGTTTCCGGTGGAGCAGATGTCCTTATGAATTGGATTAAAATGAAAGCTCTTGCATTGGCTTTGGATACTCCTCCATGGGTTTGAGAGCTTGTGTGCGATGCATGCTTACTGCGTGCATAATTCTTTCATAAGCTTGTAACCTTATAAGGTTAATTCAGATCCATTCATCTCACGGATTTGTTGAGTTGTGGTTATGTTGTGCCCAAATACAGTTTCATGGTAATTCTATCTATTTTAGTCTCCAGAATGTTATTTAAAAATGGCTTTTCTATCTATGCCCCATGTGCTATCCCTCTCCTTGTCCTGATGAAGGTCCAAATAAAATCTTCCTAATGGGCCTTCAGATAGCAAGAATAATAATAGTTACAGTTGTTTTGGGATTCCCAAATGGAATGGAATTTCCAACAGATCAAGTAGGAGAAACTATCTGTTCCAGAATCTCATCATCAGCTTGCTTGAGTTAAAAGTTGTCAGGAAACTTTATTCATTATTATTTATTTATTGCTCCACAAGCTAATACCAAGCAAGAAAAACATAAAAATGGCTGTTTAGAGTCAGACCAGTTGTCTGTCTAATCTAGTATACTATCGATTGATAGTGGCCAATGCCAAGCACTTCAGAAGGAATAAACAGAACAGGACAATTATCAAGTAATCCATTCCCTGTTGTCCAGATCCAGCTTCTAGTAGTGAGAGGCTATGGACACCCAGAGCATTGGGTTGTATCATTGGCCATCTTGGCTAATAGCCATTGATAGATCTATCATCTATGAATTGATATACAGTAAACTTCCGGTAATCCGGAATCTTTAGGACCCAGGGGATGCTAGATTATCGGATATGCCAGACTATCGGAAGGGGGAGCTATGAGGGGTCTGCGGTGGGGTGGAGGGGATGCCACTCCAGACCCCTCATAGCCCCCCCTTCCAATAGCCCAGTTCTGCCCCAGACGTCCCCGATTCAGCCGCTGCTGGTCAGTTTCAGCAGCGGCTGAATAGGGGATGCCCGCAGCAGAGAAGCTGGGGTGATGTCGGGTTGGTCCCACAGCCCCGAGGGGCAGCGCTATGGGACCCACCCGGCAGCACTCAGCTGCTCTGCTCCCGGCTTCCCCGATTCAGCTGCTGGTCAGTTTCAGCAGTGGCTGAATCGAGGAGGCCGGGTGCAGAGCAGCTCCAGTTGTCCGGCTGCCCAGAGTACTTCCTGGTTCCCAATGGTGCCGGACCATCAGGAGTGCCGGACCAATGGAGTTTTATTGTAATTCTTTTTTGAACCCAGCTCAAAGGAAAAACTTTTAGCAGTTACTTCCAAACTAGGATCTTGGGTAGGGACAACAGCAAAAATAGTCAACAGCAAAATAGCTGACACTTGACTGTGAGAAACCAAAATTACAGAAAGGAAACTAATTTTACTTTGAGGCAAGTCACCTTTAATGCCAAAAGTTGGAGAGTGACAAATATTTAAATATCTTAGTTTTATGAATCTCAGATTATTTTTAATAAGTCATAATTTGATTTTAAAGAAGAAAATTGTAGTGGTGCTACATCAGTTAGGGCTTTGAAGATCAAGTCATGGTCTTGTAAATGTTCAAATTTTATTTTAAGGGCTCTTTTTTTTTTTTATTTTAAGAGGATTCCCATTTAGTTGAATTTAAGCAACTGATTAGTAATCTTCATTTTCAGTAGCTTGCTTCTTTCCCTTCCCTTGTTCAGATTTAGCTGCAAAAAGACCTAATTACACAGCTGGCAATTTATCATATGCTTGGTACATAATGGTACGAAGTTCTGTAATTCCCCACTCATCAAACTCTTTAAAAACATATTTTCATTTCACTCTATCATGTGCATGTTTCTCTTTCTTAATACTGTACTTTGGATTTGTAGGAACAAGCATGTGACCTTTCATGATTGTTCTATTACACTGCAGAGTGGTGAAATAGGGAAAATACAAGGGAAAAAAAGACAATTTATTTAGAATGTTTTACATTAAAATTTAGCCTAAGAAACGTTCCAAGGATCAGCCATGCCTTAGCAGTGTACAGTCTCATCTTTTTGTGGTGCCTAGAATAGCAAACAACCAAATACTGTATAATGGTTTTACTTTCTCCCCATTCTCCATTGTCACCCCCAACCTATTTCCTTATTAGAGAGAGGCACATTTTTAAGCCAAAAATGCATTTTTCAGGTTCTGAATCTATTTGCTTAAGCGGGGGAATAGTTTGAGTAAGCGGGGAAAACACTGAGAGGGTGAAAACGTTTCAATTTGACTTCTTACTTTGAAATAACATTTCAATTTTGAGTTTGGCCAGTTTAAAAAAAACACACACAAAAGGTGAAAAACACCTCAAAAAGCCAAAATCAAAACTAAGCAAAGCAAAAAAAAAAAAAAAAAAAAAAACCCTTTGAAAAATATATTTGATTTGGATGAAATCTTTTGGTCAACTGAAAAAAAAATTAAAAACTGAAAAAAATATTAGGTCAGCTCAAAACATTTCAGATGTTTCAAAAGCAAATTTTTACAAGTCTTTCTGATTCAGTGAAAAAAACTGTTGGTTAAACTCAAACTAGATTTTTTTTTTTACATTTCCTTATGTGGCTCCTGAACTACAAAATCTGTTTGCTCAGCTCTACTCCTCTGTTAATCTTTGGGAAGTGGGAGAGAATTTATTTGTAGTGGCTTTAAAATGTCATCATTTTGATTCTGCTAAGGTGCTTTTTTAATGTCTTGATTTTGACTAGTTTGTATTTTTCCAACTGGCTCAGCAGTAATACCAATAGATGAGAATACTTGAAACAGGAAGTAATTTGAATTCCGAGGAATTGTTTAACAAATATGAGTCAGTTCTATAATTTGCAGTTCTGTTATTCTTGTAAACACCTTCCTTTATCTAGATAAAAATATGAGGGAAAAAGGTATTCACAACTAGTGCTGCACTGATTCTTAACTTTTCTGTGCCTTACTCCTTCCCCTGAATTCCTACAAGTTCTTTTAAATCTTTTTTTTTTCCCTCCCCTTCACAGTGGTAGTCGCTCTTCTAAAACCTTTAAACCAAAGAAAAACATTCCGGAGGGGTCTCACCAGTATGAGCTGTTAAAACATGCAGAAGCCACACTCGGGAGCGGTAATCTCCGGATGGCCGTTATGCTGCCAGAGGGTGAAGATTTAAATGAATGGGTCGCAGTTAATAGTAAGTTGACTGTCCTTTTTTTATACAGCAGATGGGCAGTGATATGGGCTGATAATGGATAAGGACAACTGCATAGCTGTCTCTTGGACAGTGTGTGGTTCTTAATGCGCTGTCAGTTTGTGTGTTGTATTGTAATCAAAAGACCAGAACCATGGTGCCATTTACAATTCACAGCAGCTAGTGACTCAAGCTAAAAACCCCTTCGCTCCATGTGGTGAAAGTACGGGTTTTTCCAAAACAAATTGCCTCTCTGTGGTGAAAATGTAAGTGAGATTTTACAAAACAGATGAACAGTGACAGGGAAACACCAACACTGTTTTTAGCAAATGGCTGAGTATCATCATGGGGTGTTTTACTCCTTCAGATTCCAGCTAGGGCTGATTCTCATCTGTACATGCTTCTCTACACAACCCTTCCTTGGATGAATGCTACTCATGGCTAGGGATGTTAAATTTTGATTAATTAACTAATCAATTAGTCGATAAGAACTTCCGTGTTCCGCCATTGAAATGCACAAGAGCCCCAGCGGGGGTTCTTGTACATTTCAAAGCGGAAGTGCCCTCATGGAGCCTGGGGTCAGCCGGGGAGTCAGGGTTGGCTGCTGCTGGGCTCCTGCCCCCTCCCATGGAGCTGGAGCTGTGGGGCACCGGGGGTGGGGAGACGGTCTTTTAAGTCAGCTTCCTCCAGCACCCCTTTCACTTCTCCTCCCTGCTGCCTCTTTGTGATAGAGACAGCAAGGGGGGGAAGCGACTAGTTGACTAATGTGTTGACTATCAGATGAGCTTTTGCTTATCCGATAGTCAACTAGTTGAGTAGTCACATCCCTACTCAGGGCCAAGTCTAAATCAGATGGGAATATTATAATATATATGTATAGAATGCCCTCTACCTGCCCTCACCAAATCCTGAGATTTTTCTTTACATTTCCAGGGCTAATCCCTTTTGGCCCAGGCCTGATGTTCCTCACCCTGTCAGTCTGCCTCCTTTCCACATTTTTGCTGTTTAGACAGTAAGGCTGTGCTGCCCGGCTTGATTTTCTAGTTGCCGCATATCTGCACAGTGCTATGACATGAGTTTCCATCACTACAAGGGAATATTTAAATCAGCACAAATGGGTGCTTTTACAAAATTTAACATGAACAGATTTTTTTAAACCGTTTAAAAAGGAAGTGAATTTTGGTGATTTCATATATCAGTTATACCACTCTTGCTTTCAGGGGTTCTCCAGTTTGCCACCATTAAGACCCACTAAAGTGGCCTATAAAGGACCCACAATGGGCGTGTTCCCTTTTTAGGCTATGTAAAGAAGACTTAATATTGCATGCCCTTCATAGTAGAAGTGTATGTTCTTCTAATGCAGCAGGCACAGTTGTGCCCCAGTCTTCTGTGCAGAGTAAAGCGGTGTGCCTTAATCGGAGGGAGCAGAAAGGGCACTGTTCCAAAACTACTGTGCACAGAACAGTAACGGAGAAAAATGAAACCTAGGTATTGCCGTGCCAGATCAGACTGGTGATGTGTCTCGTCTGATGTCCTGTCTCATGACAATGGCCAGTACTTGGTATTTCAGTCCCAGTGAAAAATGGTAGGCGCTCTGTTGGGTAGCAATGGAGTTATCTGCCCAGGTACATTTCTTTCTTACCCAGGGTAGTGGATGTGGTGGTTGGCTGATGCACAAGAGTTAATGTATCACTGAATGTATTTGTGGATGTTCTTCTTATCCATGGAAACGCCTAACTTCTTTCTGAATCTTGCCAGACCGTGATCTCTTAGATGTTTTGTGGCAATGGCTTACATATGTGTATTTTAAAAACAGTTTATCTGTTTTACAAAATAGTTTTATTATGGGAACTTTCAATGAAGTGGGAAGAAAATTTTTAAATTTTTAGGTTTAAAGGTCCTACATGTGCAATAAACATGGGAGCTTCAGCACTCCCTTATGAGAAGCCTGGCATTCTCCTTTTTTGAAAGAAGAAAGAAATTGAAGTACAAAATTTTAAATATCTTCCCCCAAGGACACAGGAAAGATCTGGAAATAAAACAACCCTTCGTTCTTTGCTTGTTTTAATCACTGGATAACTTACTTTTCCAGAACTGGAGAGACTGCTTTAAACCCTCCCTTTCCCCCTAAAACCCCCTTACAATCTTCATCTCTGTAACCAAAAAGAGGAAATTAAAAGGCTAAGGCAGTGCTTTACATCTCTCAGAAAGGGGTGACCTCGGTTGGGCTTGTTTGTCATGCACTCATGAATTTGGAGTTTGGAAGATATGCTTCACACCCTTTTGAAACTCAGAATGTGGGCTTCAAAGCAATAGCAGTCATCCTGTCAAAGCCTGTGTGGTTTTGAACATGTCTGCATTTAAGTAGACATTCGGGTTGGAGGGGGTAGGGTTGGGAGTGAGGATTAGAAACCTAATTAACAGCTCTTTTAGTCTGAAAAGTTCAAAATTGGTTGTAATATGCAAAATCTACTTGCAGTTCTTTTGCTATTAAAGGTTCCCATTAAGATTTTCATAATTTAGGTGGTGTTTTTTTCAATACATGTTAAAAACCCTTCCCCTCCCCAAAGGTTGTCTTGCCATTTGTTGCTATTGCTTCTCCAAAGAATGTGTATTAAACACGATCCACCAGTCCTGAGCTGATTTGCTCCTTGGTGATTGTGCTCGCAAAGTGCAGTTTATGCTTGTTTACTATATCAACTGAAAGTGGGATGAACGAAAATAACTGCCAGGAATTTGCAAGGCATGCTCTGCACATAGTCTGTGAAGTAAGTAACTTTCCTTCAGTGTCACTTAAGGAGCCTAAAGAATCTCTCTGTCCCTTCCCCCAACCTCAGATACCCAAAATACACTTTACCTGGACAGTCCTTGAGTTCTGGGTGCACAATCTTTTTCAATGAATGGACTTGCTAAAAGAACTCCCTCAGAGAAAGTTAAGACCATTCACTGGGGGTTTATTACTGCGCAATGCAAATTGTTTTCTTACTGCCCAGCCCTAAGCTCAATTCCCAGCCTTGGATACCACATTGGATGAGACTGAAATGGCTGATGTTTCATGTATACTCTGCATAACCCACAGCGCTTCCAAGTGTACTGCAGATTGTACTTGTGGGGGGTGCCGCATTTTGGAACAGATAGCTCTGTAAATGTCACCTTCTCATTAAGGCTAGAAATGCAAAATGTCTATCTGAATACTCAGAAGATAGTCTATTATTCAGCTACTTGTGCATTGGGAGTCAAGAGGCTTATTCTCGGCTGAACACTCCTACAAATAGCAAATGGCATTTAAGAATGTGACTCTGAATGAGGACATTAATTGAATATTTTTGGGATCCGCCTCAGCCTGACACCAACATAGCAGTGGCCATAATTTGGATTCACACACCTTGACCAACTCAGATAAATATTGGAAGGCCTTAAGTTTCTCAGCGTATGTCTACACAGCAAGCAGCAACCTGTTGCTAAGCCCAGATCTGTAGACTCAGACTTATGTGACGGCTCTAAAAATAGCTGTATAGATGTTTGGGCTTGGACTCTGACGCCTGCTCACATACCTACACATTGGAGCCTGGGCTCTAGCCATAGCCCAAATGTCTGTATCACTATTTTCAATGCCAGAGTGTGAACCCCACAAGGCTAAGTCTTTAGACCCAGACTCTGACACATACTGCTACGGACTGCTGTTTGCGGTGTAGACATACACTTAGTGCTTCTGTTGAGCCTGCAGACAGACAGAAATAAAACTAAATTATGCCATCTGCTCACATTGCCAAAGCTAACTGTGCAGCCAAAAGGGCCAGAAACTTAATTTGGCAGTGGCAAAGTGAAATAGATTTTGGAAACTGGAGCTGAGTCTCTCATAAGTACAGTACTACATTTCACACAGGTTTGGTTTTTGTTTCTGGTATAGTATCATAGACCTTATTTACTTGTGGATTTGTATTACTTGAAGTCCCCAGCAGAGACTGTTACGGTAGGTGGATGTTTCCTGGGTGGAAGGCAGATGGGAATAATTCCAGGAAGGCTGATGGAACCTTTATCCCCATGAAGTATTATGCATAGATCCAGAAGTATTTAGCTGTTAGCAATCACAGATTTGTTCCATGAAATATAGCTTGTGATTGATTTCCCTGTTTCAATTTTGCCCGTAATTTACACGGAACAGAGAGCAAATATGCTCTAAAGTGTTCCTTTGGGTGGCCTTGGAGCAACATGCAGACTGCAGTCAGGATCAGGCAATGGGGGGAAAAGAAGGCTTATTTTATAAATTGATTACAGAAGCCAAGACTTTCAAAAACAAGAGCTTAAAGGTGGGCTCCTAAATAAGAAGCCTGATTTTTTTTTTTTTTTTTTAAAGAGTATTGTGAAATGGGAGCTGCGGTATGCCCAGCAGTTTTGGAAAAAAAATACTTAGGCTCTATTTTAAAAAATCTTGGCCAAGACAGATTATATATGGCAATTGTTTTCCTTCATTGTGAAAGGTGCTACATCTATATAGATATACATTTATGACAGTTTGTGCATCTGTCTGTCTGCGAATCTGTCCATCTGTGAGTCCTTTTGTTCAAGAACTCTTCTTAAACAATAAGAGCTAAAACCACCAAATTCGGTAGGCAGCTTCCTCTTATCCTAACTTAACAGCAAAGTCAGAGTTTGGTTGTTCCAGGATAGTGGGATGTGCCTGGAATCTAATTGTTTTCCATAACACAGAAAGGGAGGGGGCTGAAAGCGGGGACAACTGTACTCTGCGGTGACCATTGGGGCCAGTGAGCACAAGGGACAATTATACTGCAGAGTGACCATAGAGGGGTGGCCGCACCAGGAAGAGGGTGGCCAGTTGGGGCCAAAGCTCTCCATATTGGTGGCAACTAGCCAGAGGTAAGTGGCCTCTGTGTCCCCAAACTCTTTTCCCCCACAGGTGGGTGGGAGGGGGGGGAAGTGCAGCCTTCCCTCTATCCTGTTGGGACCGGGCTGCGCAGCTTCCCCCCACAAGGAGCCGGGGGGAGCATCTGCAGTGCCTTCCTCACCACCACAAGTGGCCCCAGTGAGCCCAGCAGACCTCCTGGCCCCCTTGCCTGGGCCCCCCACGCTCTGGCCTAAATCCTGCACCCCCCCAGCCTAAGCCCCTTCAAGCACCCAGCACCCTTCTCTGAGCCCCTTCTCACATCCATCCCTCTGTCCTGACTCATGCACCCCACACATCACCAGCGTCCTGCCCTGAAGGACCCAAGCGATGCCAGGAAAGTCTAGTTTTTAAGTATTTCAGACATCTCTCTCCCAGAATGTGTAATAAGAATCTCCCACAAAATAAACAAATGCTAAATGAAGTGCAGTGTTTTTAGAGGTAAATACTAAGGATGTTCAATTTAGATTAATCAACTAATTGAATAGTCAATAAGGGCACCTCCACCTTTAAAATGTAGCAAGAGTCCCGTCGGCTCTTGCTACGTTTCAAAGGCAGAGGCACTGGGGGAACCACGGGACTCAAGCAGTACATATTGTAGACTGCTGCCAAACAGTTAACTGAATGTTTATGTTCTTTACAGCTGTGGACTTCTTCAACCAGATCAATATGCTTTATGGGACTATTACAGACTTCTGTACGGAAGAGAGCTGCCCGGTGATGTCAGCAGGTCCCAAGTAAGAATATTTGTTATACATCACTGAGAGGGTACAACTTCTGAGATCAGTCTCTGTTTGCAGACTTGTGATAATGCTCATTTACTCTTGAAGTAAAGGTGACGTACAAAGACAGAGAAAACGTTCCCTTTCTTCATGCTTTTTGATGTAAAAGAATGCCTGACACTATAGTGGGGTTGGCACTGGTGGTTAGGTTCTCATGCCTCCCCTTAGAAATATCATGAATGTCCAATTTTATCTTCCCCGGTGAGTTCTCTAACAAAATAGTCTCTGCAAGGCAGACTGGCAGTCATTTGATCCCTGAAGGGTTTGGGATACTGAAAGCTTTTCTTTGATGTATTTTAGTTCACTAGATATCGCAAAACTCATCAACCACTTAATCTGAACAGAAATCCCTCCACAATTGCTGAAGTTCGACTTATTTCATACATGCCATCTTGTACTTCTGCAGCTCTCCAGTGTTTTCTAGAAAAATATGCAAGAAGCACAAAGTTTGAAGTCCTGGGACTGAGACATGCATAGGGGGAGGGAGGGGCTAACAGTCCCACTAAACTAAGAAAAAACACTTATCCTGTCTTAAAACACTTACCTCAAAGAATCTGAGGGGTGGCCTTGTTCGTCTTTAATTTTTAAAAACAAAGGGTAGTCCTGTGGCTACGCCTTCACTTAACTAACTCTTACGCTAATGAGAACTATTCATACAGAATAGCTTGGAAAATGCTAGGGAATCGCTTGAGGAAAGAGAAGAGGAGCACCTGACTGGTGGTAGGAAGGAACTGAACAGGCAGGGTTGTCAGAGCCCACTGTAACTGTGCAACTTCAGGGGGCTCCGCAGCTGACCTGACGTGTACCATTAGGGGAAAATCCTTTGGATGACTGAGCGTGCGGCATGCTCGCACTTACTTGGGCTCGACCTGAGTAATCACTTGCAGAAGTATTACTGCTGCTACTGCTTATTTAATTTGATTTACATGCAACTTTCCAGTCAGTCACCACAAAAACACGTGTCCTGCTCTGTCGTTGCAACGTCCCTCTAGCAAAATTTGAAAAGTGCAGATCTATTGATTTTCACCGTAAATTTCTGACAAGACGTGCGTAGCACTATTTAGCTATATTAAAAGGGAAACATATCTGATTAGTGATGCACACAGAATGTAGAATATAAATGGTTCACTGTTGCAAATCATGGAGACATCCAATCCATTTTCAAAGTAAAACCGAAAGGTTTGTTTTCAGATGCTTCTAAAATATGGAGTCAAACTGAAGATCCACTGGTATGTGAAAATAACGTTCCTTCTGGCATGGGCTTGGATTCATGTGCATCTGCTGCACATTATTAGTGTTAAGTCTATGCACATCTCAAGATAAGTAGCTGAGGTAATCCCTTGGCAGTGGACAGATTAGGCTAGTGCACTTTTTGACAAGGGGAATCCTACCTCATGTTCTGGGCAAGCCTTAAACGCAAGCAGCTTGTGGGTTTGAGGTCTCTGCTGTATTTGCCATATCAAATGTCATGTAACCGTAAGCAGAACAAGCACTCTGGAAAGTTATTGGTCAGTACAAAGTATATTGTGACTGTAATATGTGTAATACAGTGGTGGACAATAAACGGCTGCAGGCCGGATCCAGTTTGCCATTCCCAGCCAATGAGAGCTGCAGGAAGAGTTAACTGCAGCCTACGGGAGCTACAAGCAGCCATTCTTGCAGATGCGCAGGTAAATAAAGTGTTTGGCTAACCCTAGCAATCCATGTCCGGCCTGCGGGCTGCTTCTTGCCCACTGCTGGCTTACCAAATACTAGGAAGGAGGGGAAATTGAGTTATTGCTTCATTTTCCCCTTTTCTCGTTGGTTTTCATGCCTGCCAATAAGAACACACAGGAAAGAACATACAGCCAACATTTCAGATCTGGATATCTAGGGATAGGCTTCTAAGTCCAAATTAAGGTATCGTCATAAAGGTGGCCTTTTTTCCCCAGGAGTGAGTACTTGCAAGATCTCTCTGGCTTCAGTAAGATTTGTGGGTGCTCAGCACTTCTGTATTTAAGCACTTGAACAAAAGAGGCCTGAATTTAGCCATGGAGAGTGTCCACAGATCCCAATTTTGGTCTGAAATAATAACCTTATGAAATTGCTGTTCCTCTGGCTTACACGTCTGCTGTGATAACAGTTATATATCCTCATTTGAATCTGCCACTTTAAATAGCTCCTCTCAGCAGTTCCTCTCTCTCATCAGTGTGCCAACTCGCATTTTTCTGACCTCTTCCTTTGCTCCAGTGTCCCTTGGCAAATGGGATAGCCAAATTAATATCTCTTCACGGCGATTTAAAGATGATTATATATAAAGGTCCTATATATGTACTAATGCCCTTAAAAATCTTAATCCCAGCCATCTAGCATGTGCGTTTTACTTAGTGAAGGTGATAGTTCTGTTCTACAGCCTTCACAAATATTGTAACAGGGTCGCACTCACCTCTCGTGAGTGACCCCCTTGGCTGAGTGTGTGTGCGCCTGCACTCTCTGCTTATGGTTACTCTCCGGCTAAGTCATACACAGTTGGCGCACCTTGAGCTCCAAAGAGAACTGATTGGCTCTGGTGCAGTTGCTTCCTTTGTATTGGCTTGCTGGGCCCTGATTGGCTGCTTCCCCTGCAGACACTCAGGCCTGCTAGGAGGTCTCCTCTACTGCTTTTTCTGGGGCGGGATGTGGGAGGGGCCCTTAGGGTCTACTCCACCCCATCACACTCCTCTCCTTCCTAATAGGAGTGGGGTGGTAGTTCTGTATGAGGCACTCTTCCATTGTACCCCATTTTGCCCCATGTTAGCAAAGTTTTCCCTCTCCCAGACTTCTCTGTCTGGAAGGCCATTAGTTATAGCCTTTCTGTGCCCTGATCTACCAGGGTCCTTGTCTCTCAGACTCCTGAATGTCGAGTCTCTGTGTTTCGTAGTCATACACTGTAGGGAGCAAACACTCTTTTTCCTGCTTGATGAACTGGAGCTCTTCACTCAGATGCTCATTCATGAACTTAAGATCCCCTAGTTCCTGAACTCTCTGTTTATGGTGGCTCTCCTGTGACCCAACCGAGTCACACACAGTCTGCACAGCTCAAGCTCCAAAGAGGAACTGACTTCCTTTATACTGACTTGCTGGGTCCTGATTGGCTGCTTCCCTTGCAACCAGTCTGGCCTGAGTGGAGGACCTTTCTATTGCCTGTTCTGGGGCAGGCTATGGCAGGACCCCAAGACCTCCAGCAGGGGGCCTCAGGGCATAGCCCAGCCTGTCACAAATGTACTTTTTTTTTTTTTAAGTGTGTGTTTATATAGAGATTTCTGTGGAGGAGGGGTAGGTCTTGTTATCTTTAGTGCATGGCATATTTTCATATTTAGGTAGAATCATTTGCATATATGTGAATGGAAAAAACAATTAACTAATAATGTCTCAATCCTGGTAAACCCTAACAATGTCATTTGGGGCTGTTTGGTCCTACAGCTAGTCACTGTAAATGCCATATTTCCTATGCTACGCACTAAATATAATTGTGTCTCTATTATAAAATGATCCATGAGCATTACAGAGGATTGTGGATTTTTTCTCTTCTTTATGCCAAAGAGGCTTGATCCAGCTACAAGGTTGAATTTTCCTTGATGGCAATGGCATGGTATGTTTGTTTTATTAGTAGAGATGTAGGTGCTTGCTCTCACACGTGTGTCAGTGTTTGAGTCTGGTTTTAATCTTCCATCTTTCATAAATGTCCTAGTATCACCGCTCTATATTTTGGGAACCCTCTAAAGAAGTTTCAGACCCAGTAGAGTGATTTCATTAATATGTTTAATCATAAGCAGATTAACACTTATTTCATTAGCTTCATGGGTTCTAGAAGTACCACATGTAATGCTGCACTCAGCCAGTCAGACTTGGGGATTCACAGAGTATTTGAAGATTATCTCTGCACATTTCCACTTACAATATGTGTTGTGCCAGAGAGTATCTCTCTGCTGTTTTCTCAGAAGTCATCCAGTTAATGCTCAGAACTTGTCAGGATACAAAAGCTAAGCAGGGTCAATAGATGCACAAAAGACCTCAGAGCAGTACTGGGCAACCCAGACTAGTGAGTGTGCCACATGAGTGCCCTTCTTCATCACCTCAGTAGGCTGCAAGACCGTTGTGACAAAGACTGTGCTTTGTATGAAGAAATATTTCCTTTGTTTAGCTTTATATCTGCTGCCTGTTCATTTCATTGGGCGGCTCTAGTTCTTGTGTTATATGAAGGAGTAAATAATACTTCCTTATTCATTTTCTTTACACCATTCAGGATATAGGCCATTATCATATCTCTCCATAGTCATGTTTTCCATGCTGAAAAGTCTGTCTTTTTAATCTCTTCTTGTATTGAAGTTGTTTCGTACCCTTAACCGTTTTTGTTGCCCTTCTCTGCCTCTTCCAATGCTAATATACCTTTTTTGACCAGAACTGCATTCAGTATTCAAAGTGTGGGCATACTATGGATTTATATAGTGGCATTATGATATTACTGTCTTATTGTCTATCCACTTACTAATGGTTCCTAGCGTTCTTTTAACTTTTTTGACTGGTGCTATACAGTATCTAGAGAAGTATGTAAATAAATGTTAGTTTTATTTACTATCCTAACTGTTCTGTTGTAAAATTTATTGTGAAAAAGTTTTCATAGTTGCTGATTTAACTGACAAAATGCTTGGAAGTGTTTAAAACAGGCTCCCTCTGTTTAAATTTTGTGCAAAATGTAGTTGTTGTGTAAAACAAACATATTTTACTCATAGTTAATCATAGAAGTGTGATAAATAAAAACATTCTCATAATTTTCATTCTGGAGCAAACATCTTAAAACAAACATTCCCCTGCTGTTTGCCACTCAAACATCACAGTACTCTGCTATTGTGTTAAGAATAGCAATGATAGTGACGAGGCTATTTTCAGTACAAACTGAAAAAATGAAGAGTAAATTTAAGCAGTTAAAAGTTAATAAGATGTTCTTAAATTTTTTCAGTTCTGATAATTTTAAGATCAGATTTGTAGGAAAGGTAACAATGTTTTCTCTGAAGGCACATAATTTTAAACTGGCGGTATCATTCTCCCTTGTATTTGGGGAGAACTGGTGCTTGCCTCTAATACAGCTCTTTGGTTCCTTTGAGACAGGGGTGGGCAATAATTTTTAATGGGGTGCACGCCAAGATTTTGATAAGTGGTGAAGGGCCACACTTCTGTGGAAGAAGCGCGAGGTCTGGGATGGAGGTTGGATGCAGAAGGGAGCTTGGAGTAGGGGGTTTGGGGTGCAGGAAAGGGTGTGGGGTCTGAGAGGGCATTTGGGTGAAGAAGGGGGTTGTGATCTGGGGCAGAGCCTTGAGATGCAGTGTCCAGGAAGGGGTATGGGTGCAGGAGAGGATTCTGGCCTAGGGAAGAGACTGTGGAAAGGGGTGCAGGGTCTGGGAGGGAGTTGTGACCTGTAAGAAGCGGGAAAAGGGGTACAGAGGGTTTGGGTGGTGGCCTGGGGCAGGCAGTTGTGGGGGGGGGGGGAGTGGGGTGCCAGAGGTAGGCTCTGGCTGAGAGGTGCTTACCTAGGCGGCTCCCAGCTAGCAGCCCTGCAGGAACCTGAGGCAGGCTCCCTTCCTCTCCGCTGAAGTCTCAGTCCACTCGCTGCTCCACATGGTTCAGCTCTAGGCATGCTGGGGGGGGAGAGAGAGAGAGGGAGGCTTCACATTCTGCCCCAGAACCTGGCTAATGGAAGCTGAGAGATTTTGCTGGAGGATGGGGGCAGCATGCAAAGTCTCCTTCCTCCCTCCCCAGCAGCCTAGAGCAGAGAGCAGCCAGCTGTTTTAAGCATGAGCTGCTCTTTGCCTAAGGGTTCTGTCCAGGTGGCCGGGGGCCAGATCCAGTGGCTTGGTGGGCCAGATGCAGCCTGCTGGCAGCCTCTTGTCCACTCCTGCTTTGAGAGGACTATTGCACTGCAGTGCTCAGCAGTTCTCCTCATTCCTACATTGGCAGTATGTTGACTCCGTTGGTGGTAGGGAAGGACCTGGAATGAGTGTCTCCAAAAGCATTATGAAAGTTGAGTTCAGTCCTTAAACAGAAAGAGAAACCATTCCCAGGCTTTTGTATTAATGGCTCAATTGGGTGCTTATGAGGTGTCTTTCCTTTCTCTTCCAAACCAGATATGAGTACCACTGGGCAGATGGGACAAACATAAAGAAACCAATCAAATGCTCGGCACCAAAGTACATTGATTACCTGATGACTTGGGTCCAGGATCAGCTGGATGACGAGACACTGTTTCCATCCAAAATAGGTAAAAATGAACAGTGAAATAGGGTTCCTGTTGGAAGAGACTATTAAGATCTCTCAGCATTGAAAAGCTTGTGTAGTTTTGTGTCTGAAATTACAGGAAGGTAAAAGTATTGATTAAATCCCAAAGGGAACTTGGCAATAAATAGAAACAGTGAGCTGTTGAATGTTGTTAAATGATTAGTGACTGACATAAGATAGTTAAAGAAGACTGTATTAGGACTCTGAAAGGTACTTACATCTGCTTAAGCAGGTACAATTTGTGTGTCTGGCTATCAGACATAAAACATAACTGAACACTCCTTAATAAAATCTTGTTAAAATTCAGGAAGTGGGAAAAGGATAGTTCTATTTAATAAGCAGCTGTACTTTCATTTAGTCTTCAGCTTTCTCTTTTTAAAAAGAGTATTTCTCCTAGAGATATAGGAGGGGAGGAAACGTAATTCCAACCTGCGTACCCTAGGGCTGTGTCTACATTGGTGTGATCTTGCGCCAAAGCGGCCACTTTTGCGCAAAAATATGCTGCCTGTCTACACGGGCGGGGCGTTCTTGCGCAAGAACACTGATGTTCTAATGTGTGAAATCAGGGCTTCTTGCACAAGAACTATGATGCTCCTGCTCAGGAATAAGCCCTCTTGCACAACTGTTCTTGCGCAAGAGGCCAGTGTAGACAGGCAACATGAATTTTTTGCGCAAGAAAGCCCGATGGCTAAAATGGCCTTCAGAGCTTTCTTGCGCAAGACTGCATCTATGCTGGCACGGATGCTCTTGCGCAAAAGCACATCTCTTGCGCGAAGGCATATGCCAGTGTAGATGCTCTCTTGCGTAAATACTCTAACGCAAAAATTCTTGCGTTAAAGAGTATTTGTGCAAAATCTTGCCAATGTAGATGTAGCCTATCAGTATCTTTTTGTAAAATATAGTTTTCCCCAGCCACCAAAATAATTTTCTGTGCAGAAAAGACGCATAGCCCCTAGGAGACATTTCCCCTATTGGTTCAGCTTTGCACCCTTGATTCTGAATATAGAACTTATTGCTTGCAAGTAAATAGGGAAGTGTTGTATGTTCGGAGGAGGCTGCTTTAAATGCATGGCACTATTTAGCAAACGTTTAATGACAGTCCACTTTAAAAAAAGATCATCTGTCAAAAATAAATGGCTTTTGTTTTTACTTGTTCATGGTTTTAGCCAGATGCAAATGAACGTATGAGAGGTTTTGACTTTAAATCATCCCTCTTCTCAACTATCCCCTGCGCTGCACATTGCAATGTAGAACTTGTTGACAAAATGCCGTGGAGCTGTTGGACACAGCGAGTGGGGGAGAGGAAAGCCCCTTTGATTATTATTGACAGTAATGTTAATCGTGTTTCAAGTTATTTAATATTTATCATACTGTCGTGCGCAAAGGGCTCGGATCTCCATTTTGCTTGTGTCCTGTTCAAGTATATATATGTAGACTTCATTTAATAGGATTGGGGGGGGGGGATATATTTTGGAAAATAGTGACTCAGAAAATGAGTAACGGGGTTATAGTGTAGATAAGCAAGTGAACATGCACTGCCAATGTGATGCAGTAGCGTAAGTGCAAATGCAATCCTTAGATGTTTAATAAACAGGGAAATATTGAGTAGGGAGGTTTTATTAGCCCAGTATAAAAGACTAGTGAGATCACCCCTGACTTACTCCATCCCGTTCTGGTGTCCACACTGTGTAAAATGTACATTGATAAATTGGCAAGGTTCAGAAAAGAGCAACAGGAATGATTTGAAGTCTGTCATATGGTGAGACACAAAAGAAGCCCAATCTACTTTATCCAAGATGAGGTTGAGAGAGAACTTGACCATAATGGCGAGAAGATTTTTTATAGTAGAGGACATTTAATCTATCAGACGAAGGTACAGGTTGGACCTCCCTCTTCTGATACCCTCAGGACCTGGCTTTGCCGAACGAGGGGAGGTCCTCCCCAACATGGCCCATGCTTCCTGTGGCTAGGACTCTGGCTGAGCCCTGCTACTGCCTGCCTGGCCGTGGCTCCTCTGGAGCTCTGTGGCTGCCAGAACTTTGCTGCTGCCATGGCTGCTGGGGCCCAGCAGCTGCTGGATGGCCAAAGCTTCATGGCTCTGCGGCCGCTGCTGGTCCCTGCAACCTCCTGGCAGCAGGGACCAGAACTCCCTGCTGGGCCACCCGCCCCTCCCTCAACATGGGACTCCTAGCTGAGTTGTGCCCTCACCCACTGCTCCTGCCACAGAAAGGATAATCATTGGAACAATTGACCCAGAGATATAGAGAATTTTCCATCACTTGAAATCTTTAAAGTAAGAAGGGGATACCTTTCTGCAACACATGCTCTAGCTCAGCTAGGAGTTATGGGCTTGATGTAGGAATCCATGGCTTGTGTTAGGCAGCTGATTGTAATAGTCCCCCAGCTTTAAAATCTACGAAGACACAGTCTTAGCCCCAAAACGCTTACCATACATTTGTTTCTTTTTAGGCGTTCCTTTCCCAAAGAACTTCATGTCCGTGGCGAAGACCATTCTGAAGCGTCTCTTTAGAGTGTATGCTCATATTTACCACCAGCACTTTGATCCAGTGATCCAGCTGCAAGAAGAGGCACATCTTAACACATCCTTCAAGCACTTTATTTTTTTTGTTCAGGTAAACTAGCATAAGAATATTATGGTAACAATTGCCTTCTACTCTGAAGACAGAATGTACTAAAATGACCTTACAGACAAATATCATGTTTTGAGTTTTCTAGCAGTTGGTACAGGAGCTGGTCTTTTTACATAATTGACAACTCTAAGACCAAGATGCTACCTTATTGGTATTCTAGTGTATAATTATTACTGTAAGTATTGATCGAGTGCAGTAGTGATTTATGAAGTGTTTCCACAAGACAGACAAGTACAAAAGAAAACCTTTATTCGTGGCCAGTAGAAGAAAAAATGCAGAAATTAAGCTGCAGAGTGTGCATTTACTGTCTGCTGCTATTTTTCCACCAGGGAAGAAGCCCTGTAGACATTATAAAAGGGGGAAAACTGTCTGAGCTGCATTGTTGGATGCAGAATAGGATCTGAGAAAGGACTTTACCAAGAGTGAAGTGAAATCTTTTTTGAATATGGATCTACCAGGCACTTTAGTGAGCACACTAATTCATTTCACATAGGTTTCTGAACAGCCTTTTGATGATTATAAGAATGTTTAGTCATTGGTGACCTAGACTGAATTTGAATCACCTACCTAGAAATTAAAGCTAATAGGTAAGCCTGGACTTTAAGATTACAAACTGCAGAGTAACTTTATACTTAAACGCTAAGTTGATACTAATGCTCCGTTACCTTGTACAAGTAAAATGTTTCCCCCCCCCCCTACAGGAATTCAACCTTATTGACAGAAGAGAGCTGGCTCCTCTTCAAGAACTGATTGAAAAACTGACCTCTAAAGATAGATAAAAGAAAGTGGATTTGTGGAAATCACTTGCTTCTTTAAACAAGCGCGCAGTATTTTTTTTTTTTGGGGGGGGGGGGGGAGTTCTGTTTTGAAAACAAAACAAAACCTTGTTCTGTTCTTACAGGCGGCCAAGATTCATTCTTTGTGCTTTTATTAGGGGAAATCTTTGTCTTTTAGTGACATGCAGTAAATGGGATTTTTTTTTTCCTCACTGTGGATTTTTGGTAGATTTTGAGTGTTTTTATAAAGGAAGTATGCTTGTTGGGGGATTTGACACTGCTGGTGGATGGGTTCTGTTTTGTGTCCATTGTAGCCCATTCTCACGAAGTCCCTAAAAGACTTACATTCTCTAAGTGCCTTGGCAGACTCACTTCTGAGGTGCAAAGCACACACAATATTGAACATTGCTGGAAAAAGAAAATACATCCTATCCAGGACACTTACTGATGCTTGGTTAATACGTATATGCTTAAAGTACAAAAGCCATAACTTACTTAAATCAGTGATCTCCAGCTTTTAATACAAAGTATCATTTTTTAAAAAGAGGTGAATATGGAGCGTCTCAAAAGTAGGTATTTCAAATCCCCCCCAAAAGTAAAATTTTATAGTGATGGTGACACCACAGGTATTATCCTAATCACCAGATCTAAATGATAAAGATTTTAAAATCATGGACAGTTCAGAATAGCAGAGGGCTGGCTCTCCCTTTCACTGTAGTTTTTTCGTGCTTGTAACTTATTTATTCTGTTAATATAAATATCAGTTCAGGCCAGTCTAATGTATTATAAGTTTCATTACATCCTTCAATACCATTTCCCAGATGAGCCAATCACTTTGCAAAAGTGTATTTAGTGAGAAGGAAAGATCTATTTAGTCTAATAAAAAGACATGTAGGTAACATGAAGAAAAATCTCCTTTAGAATCCCCTGGAGTGATGCTGTTTAAACACAAATAGTAAAAAGCGCTAACTTGAGATTAGAGCTTAGAGTCTCAAGCTTTTTCACCAGAGAACCTCTCTTTGCAGAAAGACTGCCTTGTGCACCACTTCCTGGTTGCAATCACAATGCCTGCATCCCATCTCATTCGTAATTATATGAAGTCTCTGGCAACTTCAGCAATTGTTTACATGGGGAAAGTTACATTGTCATATTTGTATATTTTTAGCAGTCTTTAGTGCGACGAATGCTTTTGTTCTTTTTGAGGAAAAATCACACAACCTCCTTTTTCTTTTATTTCCTCTCTCCCTCCATTTCTGGTCCTGCTTCACTCGAACTGGAAACTTGGAGAACCAGTACCATGTGACAAGGCATTTCCATGGGCCACCACCAAGTGGTCTACTGACAACTAATATGGACATTTCTGTCCTGCAGCTATGTGAAACTCATGCTTTCTTCAGCTTCATCAAAATGTTTCTTTAAGATATATGAATCCCTTGCATGTATGTTGGATGATCTATGCCTTGGATTTATAGGTCAAATTACAGTGCATGGTGTAGTTGGCCTTAAGGAGAGGCTGCCAAGAGGTAGTGGAAACAGTTGGGGTTGGGTTTTTTTTCCCTTTTTTGTGATGTCTCTAGATCTGAAAGATATTCCTCAAAAATGGGGAGTGGGGTGAAAAGGAGTAGCACCTGCCATTCTTTTGCTTTCTTCTATTAGAAATATCAGGTCTTGTCTACCTATTTTTTTTCTGGATGCCTGCTTGAGATACTTGAGTGGGAACTTTTTGAAGCAACAGTTGGAGGGTCAAGATGTTGGAAACTTTCACGTAGATTGATTTTCATTCAAATATTTGAACAAAAAAATCCCATCCCCTCTCAATTGCCGATGTTCCAGTCTCTCCCTTATGTGAAAAAAAATCAAACAGAGCCCTCATCTTCTTTTGAGAAGACCTTTGAAAACTTCCTACATCTGAAAGAAGTAAAAAGAGCAATTTGTTTTCCTATTACTGGAATATTCACACCCAGCATTTTACCAACTCACTCACTGATCCAAGGATTTATAGGCTCTGGCCTAGTACTACTAGGAAGAGCACAGCATTGTGTAGATGACTTCAGGAGGCCATATGGCCAGTGGAATGTTCCACAGCAAAGGCATCTTGGGTGTGCATCAGATTATCTGACTATATGTCTGATTGAATGCACTCCTTAGTGTCAGAACATGTCCGTTTTTAGGCTGCTATGTACTGGTTTGCACAAGAACCAGTCCCCCACTTCTCATTCGAGTATTGGAGGTCCCCTGTGCTCCCCTTCATCCTTGTAAGCAAACTGTGCTGTGCCCATCAAAGGGACTGGTTTTTGTCTCCTATATTGAGTAAGATAACAGGGAACTGTATGCTTATCTTGCTTGCACTGTGCAAGTTGGTGCCTGAGTACTTTTTCTGTGTATTTGTGAGTTGCTTGGAGGCTATTTCTGTGTGGGATGGGACAGATAACTGATCCAGGTACTAAATCCAATTTCAGAACTCGAGCCATAGTTAACTGTAGATCTGTTATGGTCCAAGGGTCTTTTAGTTACTGGATAATTAATAGATTAAATGGCTCTGAAACCTTTCTGTTTTGAATTACGGTGCCCATAAAGGCATCCATCTGAATATTCGGAAGGCAGAATCATCCCCTAAAATTTAAACAGAACAAACTCTTCTTCAGATTTGAAGAAAACCACATTTTTAAATTGCACTTGGGTCTGTATCCTTTTATGCTTTGCGTTAGTCTGAAAAAGTTTTATAGCTGAAGATTGGGGGCTTATAATGGAAATAGACTGACAGGCTTTTACTTGTATGGAGGCGTAAATGATACCGCTTTTAATAGCTAGCAGCATCTGCATCGTTAGTTTTCATTTCCACTGAAAACAGCTTTGCTGAACTTACTGTGATCAGAATCGGTTTACAGGCCAGTGTGGGTGTTCAGTGTGCAGATTATGCTTCTGGCAAGATGAAAAATATTTTGATCATTGCTAATCTTCTCTCATCTCTAGGAGACGCTAGGCTTTGGCCTGGTCTACATACAAAATTAGGTTGACAAAAGGCAGCATATGTTGGTCTTATTGTGCATGTGTCTTCACTTAAATTCAGCTCCCAATGTCGTAAGTGCCCTGCTGTGCCAGCTTAATAACACCACCTCCCTAAGTGGCATAGAGCCACGGTCGAAGTGATTAACTGGACACACTGAGGCCCTGTCTCAACTCACCGGAGGATTGACGCTCTGGCCATAGATTTTTCTGGGGTTCAATTTAGAGGGTCTAGAAAAGACCTGCTAAATCAAATGCTGAGGGCACCTCCATTGGTACCAGTACTTCTCACTGTCGCAAGGAGAAAGGGAAGTCGATGGGAGCATTTCTCCTGCTGTGAAGTCGCCCCAGAAAATTGACGCCAGGCTTGTCAACTCCAGCTACGCAGTTCACGTAGCTGGAGTTGCATCCGCTTTCCTCCATCAGTGTAGATCTGGCCTGAATGTAATCACCTCATTCCTTATGTTGGCTACTGCTGTCATCTAGCAGCTGCCTCGCACTGATTGCTCTGGCTGGCATAGTGAATTCTGTGGCTGAGGTGGCACAGAGGCCAGACGCATGTCGGTGAACCCCTCCCCTTCAAGCCCCATGAGTTTTGAAATTCCTTTCCCTGGCGTGGCACGCACCCCTTGCAGCTTTCCATTGGTCAGTGCAAATGCTTAGCTGATGATGCTGAGCTACATGCTTTGGATGTGCGCCTGCCTGGAGTACACAGGAGGCATTTGATCTGGGCCTTTAGGGACACGAGGCTGTGCACAGACAGCTCTGAGCTCCCAGTAAAAACATGGTCATCTATGAACAGATTGCTCAGGGGCTGCAGGAGAAGAGAGATAACAGGGAGCTGCAGACCAGCTGCATGAAAGCCAAGGACCTGTGATAGGCATGTCAGAAAACCATGGAGGCCCACAATCAGACCACTGCCAAGCTACAGACCTGCCACATTGACAAATTGCTGCATGCCATGTTTGGTGGAGAAACCATCAGCCCCTCTAAAAGCACTGAGGATACCTCTGAGGAGCCTGAGTCACAGACCTAGGCTGTGAACTATGAGGAGGAGGTGCTGGATGACGAAGAGGAGAGGTTTGGCAGGCACTGGGGATCCAACTGCCCAGCAAACAAGGGCCAGTTTTGTTTCCAACACAGTTCAGCCAGCCTCACCCGTTGAACACAGGTGCAGGGGATGAAACCTCAGGTGTGTAGTTTTTTTCACTAACAGAGACCCCGTTCCCCAAGTAGCAGGACACTTCTTTAGAGTTGTCGTTAATTTCTAGCACAAGTAAGAAGGAGTGGTACAACCAAGAGAAAGAGAGTTGCTGTTGCATTTCCTTCCCCTCTAGAGTTGAGGGGGGCATGCCGAGCAATTTGTTTATGTGCATGGGCCGTTGCATGAATCCTCTGGAGAAATCTCAGTGAAACTTTTGCGGAGGAACGCTGCAATCTTCTGCCAAATGTTTCTAGGTAGGGCTACCTTACTTCTAGTGGTATGGTCGGACACTTGCCCATGCCACTTAGCGATAACATCAGCAGGCACTATTGAAGTATGTGGGCTAGCAGCATAGAGACCTGGGCAGCTTCTGGACAACAGCAGCTGCTGTGTTCTGTCTGACTCAGGAGTGAGGGAGTAGCTAAAATCACCATCACCCATGGAATACGGTGCCAGAATTCAGTGCTCTTGCCCCATACTGCAAGAAGCATGCAGTTGAGCAATTCTTCCTTCATTGCCCCTTACTGTGCAGGACTGACACTGTGCACGAGCAGTGCTGAGTAGAAGTGAGAATGCAGTGCTGAAAACGTTCGGGGTACATTGGGATGGAGTTCAGCACGTGGTGTTTCGCTTTACACATAGTGAATATGTGGCATTATCTGCAATCTGCTACCATTGTGGTCTTCCCCGCCTTACCTGCAGAACACCCGCGTCAGATAAGGAAGAGAAAGAAGAAAAGTCAGGATGACACGTGATCCTGCAAGCCATCGGTGCATCGGACTGTGGGCACTGGCACAAGGATGATCATTGCAGATAGCCTGGAAGCTAGAGTGGAGGGAAGAAAGGCCCATGAAAAGGAGAGGGAGATGCATGAGAACTGAATGGGATGTCTCAGGCTTCAAACAGAGATGCTAAAGTCTCTGGTGCAACAATCCTAGGCAGCCCATTGAGAACTCAATATCAAGGCCCTTCTGCACCCCACCCCAACATTCTGTGTAGCATCATGGGTTGCCAAACTAGCCCTGGCACTCCATTCCGGGCCACATTTAAAAACAAGCACAGCTTTGCACACAGTGACCTATAGAAGCCTTGGTTTGTATCTTTGTAGCTGAAATGGACGTGAATGTTCTTTCCTCCTTCCTAAGTTCTGTTCTCTTGATTTAATAGACTTCCATTAAGTTTTAAATGCATTTGCTTTTTAAATGTTTGGATTTTTGTTTTTGGTTTTTTTTTTCCAATTTTGTTACAGAATAAAAGTCTGTTATTTGGAATCCTAATCTTTATAAGTTCACGGCATATGCTGGCTAGTGTTCACACTTCTGAAAATCACCAATTGCCAGTTACTGTACAGCATCACACAACTCATAAAATCATTCACAAACAAAATGAATTGGTGGATTAACAATATTATATTCCTATATATACAGCAGTCGCCACACAATTTGTTGTAGACTGCCAAATAGTAGTGCTAGGTTGACCACAATACTACAACACACTGCACTCTGGCTCACTATTAAAATGGTCTTTCAAACCTTCCCTGAGCCATATAGCTCCACAATGAGATGTTGCAATAGCTGAAATTCAGCAGACAGCTGCTCTACCTCCACCCTGTTGGAAACTTTTCTTCTTTTGCTTCACAGATATCATACAGGATACAGCAGGCCGCTATCGTCATTGGGATATTTTTCTCACTAGATTCCATCTTGTGAGTAAACAACACCAATATCCTTTCCCATCTCCAAAGGAAGTCCTCATTCTACACCTGCTTCCTTGTTTTGTCACTGTGGCCGTTATATGGTTTCATGAGCCAAGGGAGCAAGGAATAAGCTAGGATAAGCAGGATCGCTGTTGGCATTTCAACATTCCCAATGGTAATCTACCGGTCAGGAAAGACAATTCCTGCACACAGCTTTCTGATCAGTTCTGTGTTCTTAAAGAAGCAAGAATCATGCATCTTCTTTGATCAGCCCACACTGATGTTGGTGAAGCATCTCACCAGCTCTTGCATAACCCTAGAAAAGTAAACTGTTCTGTTGATGCACTCTGTGGCAAGGTGGTCTGGTCCCAAAACTGGAATATGCATGCCACCTGTTGCCCCACCACAGTTTGGGATCCTCCTGCAGAAGCATCTGCTATACTTTGCACACTGTGTTTCAGTGTTTCAGTCCTGCATAGCAGGGCAGGGATGAGCTCAGCTAACAGATGCAGGAACGTGGCCTTGCACATACGAAAGTTCTGCAGCCACTGCTCATCATCCCAAACCTGCATCATGATGCAGTCAGTGCTTGTTTCTTGGGCCCAGAAGTGGTGCTTCACTACCTGCAGCTGCTCTGTGAATGCCAACAACCACTTTGATTGGGTTCTCGCTGTTTCCCACAGCAATTTGTTATCCAAGGAATCAAGTTCCCTGCACCTCTTCTTGCAGTTCTGCAGTTACAGAAGCTCTTGCACCTTGTGCTTGCAGTGCTCGTTAAAATAGTGCAGAACTGTGCAAGATCTGTGCTTTTGTTAGAGATGGTTGACAGCAAGGAGAGCTGCTCAAGTTTCTTGGATTTTGGGAAAAAAAAGTCTCAAAGATTGTGGGATACAGATGGCATATGAGATAGACAGTTGCAAACTGGAAAGTTGAGCCCATGCCACTCAGTTATCCTATGGAACTCCTTTCTGTCACATTATGCATTGCCACAACTTCTCAAAAGATGCTGGATGGTTGTGAGTTGGGATATTATCCATGATGAACCACAGTCTGCATTGATACAAGTGCTCCTGGAGGGAAATATATCACTGATGTTTGGTGCCCCATATGCACGCAAGCAATATACTAAGTGCAGCGGCTGTATGCTGACATACATTTGCAATGTAGATGTGGCCATAGTTAGTCCTGTGCTGTATATGGAGATGAGAAAGGTGTGTACCTGATAGCTCCTTCAAAAAACAGTTGACATGTTTATTTGGATTAGCATTCTCTATTAAGATCTTGCAGGCATGGAAGACATTTTTTTAAAAAGCATGGGAGCCGTAAAAGGTGTTTGTATATGATCTAATGAGAAACAGAGTTGAAAGCTTAATATCCCAGGTTTAAAAGCAGGGATTTACTGAGTAGCAGCTCTATTTATTTTGATGGTCTGTCTCCTCACTCTTGTTATTTGATCTCTTAGAACAGCAGCTATAAAAATTCAAGACACGCTTCTGCATTTCACACACTCTTATATTAGAATTTAATGTGTAGAACATTAGTCTTACACAGGCATTTTATTCTCCTGATCCATTTATTGTTTGGCCTCTAGAAGGCCATTAATTCTGTCACTATTCATACACATAATGTTGGCTCTTAAAACTACATTACCTTTGAATAGGGAAAACCAACTTTGCAATTAAGACATCAATAGCATGCACTAAATATGAAATGTAGATTGTGAAAAGTGGCTGGTGGAAACCTTTTTTAACACTAACTTCTGTATATATACTTAAAAGTCTGGAGATCACTGTCTGAAAGAAAGCTATTTGAATATATTTTAATTATACTAACCGTGAAGCATCTAGATGGGGTGCATAGGATAGAGTATCCCTTTTGTGTATTATACTTAACAGCTTTTAATTTTCATATGTTTTTGCAAAAGACTTGGGACCAGAATTGAGTGTGTTTACACCTGTAAACATGGGCACATCAAAAGCAAAAGCCGTTTTGGTTTTTAAACTCAGCTGGACTTTAGTAAATTTGGTAACAGAACAGTATCTCTGAAAAAAACAAACCACAGTACTAGGCTAGATCCATGTTAGCAAGGGATACTCTGTTACACATTTTATTTTGTTTTGATATTAAACATTGGAGCATTGGGCTTTGTTGGTACTGGGAGCAGAACCATGCAAGCCATAACTGACCTGGTGATGCTTCCTTTACAGGTTAAGGCCTAACAGTTTAATAAGGTTTTTAACAGGTTTTGCTCTTTTTCAGCTACCAGCATGTTTGATCATATTGGTGATTTGGGTGGTAACTTCAAGAAATAATCTACCTTAAGATGAGACCAGTGCTGGCTTACTCGACTACTTATGTTTTGCTATCTTATGCCAGAGCTGAATTTGATCCCAGGAATTTATATAATTAGGATGGTAGATTAATGCCAGTTACAGAAACATTTAAACTCTTTTTTTAGTGAAGACAGGAATCAAAGTTACCTGCACAAGTGGAGAAAATATGCCATGTCGGATTGATGCTGGTAGCTGAACTGATGTCCAACATAGTAGATGGGAAGAAATAAAATCATTTTAAAAGAGGCACATAGCCTGTTTGCAAGTGTCTCAAGTTTATTTTACTGCTTACTATGCAATGTAGAACTTTGAACTTTTGCATTTACCTTAAGATAAAAAACGAGGGATACTGCTGTCTATTTAGTATTTTGGAACTGAGCACTCTCTCTGAAACTCATTTCACAGGTATAAGATGCCTATTTGCTGCTACTGACTTCCTTTATCTTTCAGATTCCTCCTTTTTCTTTCTCAGCCCCTTTACCCTGAAGCGCCATACAAAGATTTATTAAAAACTTTTCATTTTGAGATGTTCTTTGTGCCAGCCAACAGTGATGATTTTTTTCTGGAGTGCTATATTACTGTATGTAAAACAGCAATTTTCAGCTGGACTGTTAAAAGTATGGCATGACTATAGACCTGCCTGTTTCTTCCACTAGAAAATTCCCACTGTTATGTAGAGGCTTGTTTTCTTGATGGGTAACTTCATTTGAGTTTTCCAAACTGAATCACTAGAATTTTTAATGGCAAGGTTCTAAAACAGTAAAAGTTTTAAGTTTCATCTTTTTAGTAGATAACTAACATGGACATTCTGAGTGTTATGCACATTTTTTCTCTCAAAATATAGTTTCCTGTTAGCAATTGAAGACTGCAAAACAACTAAGTTTTTTTTAATAGTTTTGTTTTTAGAACTCTCCTTAAATTATTCTTCATAGATGACTGTATTTTAGGAGAAATTATTTTTATAGCCATTAAACTACGCATTTTTGTACATGTGCAACTAGGACATTTTGGGACACAAGTCTTGGAGGGAACACTTATTCTTTGCTGTTTTTGATTCTTCCTATATGCTGGAGTTGTTACTGATAAATACTACCACTGGAAGCAATACCTTGATGTACAATGGAGATGAAAGAAGAATGCAATAAAAGTGAATGAAGTTTGAATAAAAAGTAATTGCCAGAGGAAAAAGGGTATTGCAAAAGCAACACTATAACCTTCATATTCACTTCTTTATACATCTTAAAGCAGCTGGAAGTAAAAATAGATGTAAATTATAAAATGCAAAATGGGAATCCATACTGTAAGCTAACTGTGCCAATATTGCTTCAGTTTGTAATCATTGATTGGTATTTTAGTTTTAGATCAAAACAGCTTTTGATTAAAAAGAAAAAGTTGAATGTCTGAAAATCTGCAACCTGTTTGAGAGATGTAAATAATGTATACAGATTGCTGTATGTGATGGGATGAAAAAATATTTAAATTCTAGGATTTTTCAGTAAGAAAGTGAATGCTGTTTATAAGAAAAAAATAAATAGCTATGTTTGACCATGATTGTCCTTTTTCTTCCCAGACATGTTTAACTCAAATTTTAGATTTGTAGGTAGAACTCAGTTAGTTATATAGCTGTATATTGTACACATATGAACATTCTATCTACAAATTAAGGCTTTGTAAATAACTCATCTGAATTTGTGAATATTTGTATTACAGGCAGACCCAATAGCAATAAAAGAATTTCCTTATTTCATGACTTGAAATGATAATTTAGAAAAGGTGAGAGAAACCTGAAATGTAGATTGAATCAGCACTGTACCACGTGAGAAGACTCACTGGCCCATTGACTGAAGTGTTGGCCTCCCTACTGGGATTATTTTGAATGCTTTTTATGACAATTATTTTATACAACAGATTGCCATTTAAGTCATAACCATGGCATTTTATACCAATTAGAACAATCCACATTCCCACAATGTATTCAGCTTGTGCACTAATCTGAGATTTCAGATTTTACTTTTCACAACTGCTTCTTACAAACCACATCATCTCCCCTTAGTCCACAGGTAAGCTTGGCAGCAGCCATATTTCTTGGGTTTCAAAGCCTTATGACATCCAGTCCTTTCAGTACTCCAACTCTTTGATCACTCCCCTCCTCCCTACCTGCTTAAGTAAGCTAACAAGAATGCTTCTGCCCTTTGTATTGTCTATTAACGCTGTAAGCACTTTGAGGTCAGGACTGCCTCTTACTATGTATAATAGTGATAGAAATGTAGCCGTGTTAGTCTGGGGTAGCTGAAGCAAAATGCAGGACAATGTAGCACTTTAAAGACTAACAAGATGGTTTATTAGATGATGAGCTTTCGTGGGCCAGACCCACTTCCTCAGATCACTATGTATGTATGCTATCTAGCACGTTGGAACACCAGTTTCCAGTGGGGCCTCTAGGCACTACCATACTACAAATAATAAATATCTGCCAAATTAGAGTTAATTTTAAAAGAATCCGAATAGCAAATCACAGACATTAAAACATTAAACAAGAAAATGACAAATCATAGCCCATATATTAACTAGTATTGGTACTGTACAAGAAAGTTGGTCACCTTAAGTGGCTAGCCAAAATTGTCTAATATAGTTCCTTTTGTACACCTGGGTTTATATAACATTTTCCAATTTTGTGCTTTCAGAAAGCGTTGAATATTGTCATGACTTAAATCACCTGCATGTAACTCATGGATTCTAAGAGTTGTCTTGATGAACCTTAAGTGGTAACTAACTACATGACTGCTCCTTGGAGACATTTTTGATGCCATTATCACACTGTCTACAGTGGCTCAGGGCAGACTATCAAATGCAGGGCAGATATCCCAAATTGGTGATATGTTCTATAATTAGATTTCACCAAGACAAATACAAACTCTTAAAGTATTACAAGGGCTTAATAATGGAGTCACAAAGTCTCTTTACATACTGCTACCCAGACAAGATGGACTATGTAATAAAATAGTCACTTACAGGAAAAAACAAATCACAAATGTTCCAGGTTACTCCTACTCTCAAGCAACCAATTAGGTTGAATTGCATCCTAGATCTCACACCAAGGACAATTCATGTACCAAATTCCATAGTAAACGATCAAAAGGTTTATTAGCTAAGAAAAAGAAATGAAAGCTACTGAGAGGCTAAACCAGGTAAAAATATGTACATGTAAATCAGAGTCTATAATCCCAAATGGAAGCAAAGCTACAGTAATCTGTCAGTTTCCCAAAAGTGTCTGAATTTCACAGAATGATTCTGGGGATCTCCATCTTCTCATTTAGTTGTTCTGCACTGCTACAATCTAAAGCAGTCCAGAGATGAAGGATTTTTCTCTGTATCCATCTTTCCAACTATCCTAATCATTGAACTGTGAATGCCCCACACTGACCACTTGCTACACAGCCCACGCTCTCAGTTCCTATTGGCTGGAAACAACCAATCAATAGGAGCTGAGAGATTGGCCTTAGGGTATGGCAAGCCTCTCCCTCTCCTGGAGCTGAGAACCATGTGGAGGGAGCAGCCTGCAGTTTAAAGTGATTTGGGGCTGCAGCAGGCAGGGAGTCCAGCCTGCCTTGGGGGTGCTGCAGGGCTGCTGGTCAGGAGATACTTAGGTAAGTGGCTCCCAGGCAGAGCCTGCCTCTGGCACCCCAGCTCCTTCTGCACCCCAACTCCCTCCCACACGTCACCATCCAAACCCCCTGCACACCCTTCCCCCATGTTACAATTCCCTTTCAGATGCTGTACCCCCTCCTACACTTCTTCCCCAGGCCAGAATCCTCTCCTGCACCTATCTATACTCCCTCCCAGGCCCTGCACCAGGTCAAAAAATCCAAAATCTTTGAGTGGCCCCCCACTAAATATTATTGCCCACCCTTGTTCTGGGACAGTCTGCAGAGTATGAGGGATTTTAATGTTTTCTGCAATGACATTCTAGACCAGTTTTCTTAATCTCATTGTATTTGAATTGTAAATCGTATTTTAGTTTTATCACATTTTAAAGAGATGCTCAATTTAATTGTTGTGTATTCTTAAAAATCATAACCTGTAAGCGTTAAACTAAAGGCTACAGGTAGCCTTTCAAAGGAGCCAATATGCAACCATTTAAACAGCTTTCAAGGGAAGGGTGTAAGAGAGCTACTTAAAACCATAATGCTATTTTACTCCATCTATGCTTTTGTAATCCCTTCTGTAAAACTTCCTTCTGTACAGCCCAATTGAACAAAAGCTTTTAGCATTTAATTTATAGACGCCAGCACCTGGATACATCTCAACAAATCCAACTATTGGGGTCAACAAAAAGCACACAAGAAATAAATACCTGTCTGAAAAACTGCACGGCTGGGAGGTCAAGTATTTTATTCCATATTTAGATGCTATATCTTCATGCTGATATCCAAATTAAGAGAATGGTATTATAAATTTTTAAAATAAAACCTGCATAATTTCTTTGTTTCTAATTAAAAGACTCACTGATAACATCTAAACAGTTTACATGAATTTCAAAACACCTCATATGTGTATTTTACGTGACCTGCTATCTAAGAGCATTTTGGAACACTGAGGATCAAATGAGGTAAAGTGATCTGTCCTGAAATAATCTACACATTCAAGATTTACTGTATTGCAAATGCTTAAGAATGGTACCTATCCCATAAAGTTAGACTTATACCAAAATTTAAAATCTGAGAAAGTACCCCTCCAAAAAAGTTCTTGATATACACACTACACAATTTAATTCCAGCTGCAAGATTTGTAAACAGAATTTTCATACTTGAACAAATTGGGCCAGGGGAGCACTTGTAATGGTTTAATTGCTTTAATAAGCAAGCTGCAGCCACTTCAATTTAATTGCTTGAGCACTTGGCCAAATCTGTTTAATTAGGCTTCTGGAAACATTGAGTTCACAATGGGCAAGCTTGGAGATTTAACAGAGCTATAACAGTCACTTCTAGACTAGTTTAGTTGTTGTTTATATGTAAATTTAAAGTGTATAAGCTGGCTCCTCTGGAGCATGTGCTCTGCCTCCTTTCTGCCCCTCTCCCGCTTTGCTTTTGCGGAAGGTGGGCACAGGGGGAGTAGGGAAGGCTGCTGCAGAGCAGCCTCTGTCTGCAGTGGGACCAGACTCGTTGCGGACAGAAGTTGTTCTGTGGGATGCCTGTACAGCCTCTGTCCATGGGGAGTTTAGGCCTTCCATTGACAGAGGCTGCTGCCACCCCATGCTGCTACCTCTGTATTGGTGCAGCAGAAAGGAGTCAGTCTGTGCGGGGAGCCAGTTTTTAAATTGGCTCCCACCTGCCAACCTGGACTGCTGCCTCTGATACAGTCTGGTATTTGAATGTTCTGTCCAGGAAACAAATTGAGAAAATACTGAACATATAAATGTCTGATATTTCCTAATTAAGTAAGTTTTATTATTATCATAAATATCAGTACATAGTTGCGTACTGTCTGGCTGGTAGACACGCTCATGCTGCATGAGCGTGACTACTAGCCAGGCAGTACGCAACTACACAGTAGGGGGAGGCGGGGCTGGGGTGGGATGGAATCCCTAGGGCCGGACTCACCCGTGCGCCCTGCCTGGACCGTGTGTAGGACAGACAGTGCCCCAGGAGCTGCATGCACCCAGGCAAGCCGGTTCCCTCCCACTCCCTTCCCAGCCAGCTCTGCTCA